CTAGCTTTAGTTTCCTATTTGCCTCTTAGTACACACGCCGGTGTTTGGGAGTACGGCCTCCCTTTGTCTGGCGTTTGAAGGCGGAAACGGTCACAAAGTCGACTTTAGCGACCAAGCAGCGATCAGGTTTCGCTCAAGAAGAAGACATGACGGCCTCAGGACAAGCGGCGATGGCGATGAGCGGCGTCGTCGTGCTATCGCAGCTGGTGCATCCCGAGTTCAAGAGCATCGCCCGCCGCGACGTGGTCGTGTGGAAGCGGGCACGTCTCGAATACGAGACCTCGATGCGGCGCGAATGCCAGCGAACGAACCGGAGCTACGCATCGACGTGTGTTCCGATCCGCGACTCGTTCGCTCCCGTGGGGTATCTCGAGTTCCTGATGAAAAACAAGTGGGGCCTCTGGGACGACTACAACTTGCTGAACGTGCCTGAAAACGAGCTTTGGGGCGCGATCAACGGGATCATCGACAAGGAGACCAACAAGACGGTGCTCACGTACGACAAGGTTTTCAGCTCGCTCGCCCTCGACCACAACGAAGAAGACATCGAAGAGCGGGTCAACAGCTTTGTTTTCAAGGCCTCTCAAATGATTGAAGAGCATGGCCTCAGCGAGAAGCTCAAGAACTACAAGCTCAAGGTCAAGATCTTCAAGGCACTTGTCGATCGGCTCCGTCCCCAAGAGCTACAGACGGACGTTCAGCAGCTGATGGATGAGAAGATGGCGGCCAATAAACAGGCTGGCCTCAAGCACCTCGGGAAGATCATCTTCAAGCGAGCGCTTCTCTACAAGTCGTGGAGCCCCAAGACGAAGCGTCTTCGTGACAAGGAGTCGTCCGACGAAGACGAGAAACCGTCGCACGAGGAGCAGCAAGGTGTGCGCGGGAAGAAGAAGCGCAAGTTCAAGCAGAAGGACAACAAGCCGCCAGTGCAACAAGAAAGCAAGAACGAAGGCATGGAACGTCCGTGCTGGCACTGCGGCAGCAAGAAGCACAAATTGCGGGACTGCCCGAGTTCGAACGCCAAGCAGAAGGAGATTGCTGTCAAGAAGAACTGGAAGGGCAGTCGTCGTGGCGGAGGCGGCGACGGCAGCAAACAAGGCGGCAACGAAGGCAACGGGAAAGGTGACAAGAAGAAGACCAAGTTGAGTCACCTCCGAGCCTCTGGTCTCGACCAGCTCCTTTCGGGCAACGAAGGCCACATGGTTTTGACGCTCAACAGCGTTCTTGACGTGCCTTGCGTGCCGGACAGTGGTTGCGGTCTGAACATCATTCCCGCCAAGATGGTCGAGCAGCTCAAGCAGAAGATGCCCAACCTTGAAGTCATCAATTTGGACCAACCTCAGCTTGGGGTGGCTGTGGGCAAGACGGCGTTGCAGCTGGACAAGAAGGTTCAATTGCATCTGCAGCTCCACACGGCTGCCGGTCCCGTCAACGTGCCTGGTTTGCAGGCATGCTACGTTGTCGATCAAGGTGACGAGTTTTTGGTGTCGAACGACGTGCTTGTGATGCTCGGCATCGATCTCGAACGTCTCCTTGAGCAAGTGGCCGTTGGGCAGTTCCCTTCGGTCAGCCCGGATGACGGAGACGATCTATGGCGTGATGACGATGACCTCGAAGACCTCGCTGCGGAGCTCAACGCGATGCGGGTCGACGACACGCTTGACACGGACCGTCTCGATCGAGAAGATGCTGCTGCAATTGAGAGCATGCTGGCTCGCTCGGTCTTGGAAGGCTTCCCCGCGGAGCGTTATGAACGGCTCGAGAAGATCGTCAAGAGCTACGAGATTTGGCGCGCAGTCTTCCGCGGCACAGATCCACCAGCCGATGTCGAGCCGATGGACATCAAGCTCAAGCCGGATGCGAGCCCATACAGCTGTGCGGGTCGCAAACTCAACCCGTACCAAGAGCGCTTTGTGCATTTGTTCGGTCGCCAACTTTTGCGGGACGGCGTGATCGAGAAGAACAACCGATCGGCGTTCTGCAGCCCGAGCAACCCAGTGTTGAAGCCGGAGGGCAAGGCGATCCGCAAGCCCCTTAATGAATGGTCCGACGAAGACCTTTTGCGTTACTTCCGGCTTACGATCGACTATCGGCGCGTCAACGCAATGACTGTGCCAATGGCGGCGTTTATGCCGTTTTTGTCGGTCATCATGGGCAAGCTCAAGGACGCGCAGTTCTTCGGCATCTTTGACTTGCTCAAGGGCTTCTGGCAGATGCCGCTAGCGAAGCGATGCCGTGAGGTCCTCTCGTTTTTGCTGGACACCATGGTTTGCACGCCTACCCGCGTCATGCAAGGACACGTGGACTCGGCGCTGTATTTCCAGAACACGATGGTCAACATGGCGGACGAGGAAGGCCTCCTTTACGTATGTCTCCTCATCTGGATTGACGACGTTTTGGTCTTCGCCAAGACCATTGACGACTTTCTCGACGCCCTCGATCGCTTCTTTGCGATGTGCCAGAAGTACAACCTCAAGCTCAACCCCAACAAGTGTACGCTCTACAAGAAAGAGATCAAGTGGTGCGGTCGCTTGATCAGCGGCCAAGGCGTTCGCCACGATCCGGAGCGTATTGCATCGTTGCTGGCGCTGCCTTACCCAAGCAACGGCGGGCAGCTTCAACAGTTTGTCTGCGCGACCAACTGGATGCGCGATTCTGTCCCGGGATTTGCGCTGACGGTGATGCCGCTCCAGCAGCGGCTGGACGACGTTCTCGCGGGCAAGCCAACGCGCAAGAAGCGCGTGGCTACGGCTGTCGCAGTTGAGCTCTCGACAGAAGAGAAGGCGGCATGGGACGCGGTCAAAGAAGCTTTGGCCAATGCAGCTCAGCTGGCACATCCTGATCAGGATGCTGAGCTCCTCATGTTTCTCGACGCCTCGGGCGACGGCTTCTCGATCATCATCACGCAAGTGAAGAAGTTCAACGATAGCGTGCCTGTGTGGACGTTGCAGCACGAATTGGTCGCGTGTATCTCTGGCGTGTGGAAAGGTGCTCAGCGCAAGTGGAGCGTGATCGAGCAAGAAGCATACCCGATTGTCAAGGCGTGCCTCGACTTTGAGTATCTTCTCATGCGGCCGCGTGGATTCCGCATCTACACCGACCACAAGAACCTCATCAACGTCTTTGCGCCCGGTCAAGAATGGAAGCCCGGACAGCGTGGCAAGCTTGCGCGATGGGCCAGCTACATTACGCCCTACCGCTACACGATCGAGCATATCGATGGCGAGCACAACGTCTGGGCAGACATGATGTCGCGATGGGGCCATGCAAAAGACAAGGCCGTGCAACGGAAGCCGCCGGAAGGTGCAGCCAAGATGGAAGAAGACGAGCGCGAGCGGGCCCGTTTGCATCGTCTGACCATGAAGAAGAAGAGGAAGAAAACTTTACCCAAGAGCGGGACGCTGCGACCTCTGGACGAAGAAGGCTTTGAATGGCCGAGCTTGTTCGACATCAAGGTTGCACAGAGACAAGACGACGTACCGGACTTCGCGACGTTCAACACGACGTTGGATCTCTGGATGATCAAGTCGGCCGACAAGGATGTCATTTGGATCCCCAGTGACGCCTCGGCTTTGGAGCAGCGGCTCTTCATTGTTGCGCATTGTGGACCGATGGGCCACCGCAGCAAGTTTGCGATGAAGATGCATTTGAAGCGGCTCTTTTGGCTTGATCAACTGGACGTCAAGCTGACGGCCTTTATGGATCAGTGCTTGCTTTGCCCTCACGTGAAGGGTGGGCGCGTGATTCAACGCCCGCATAGCCAGCTCTGGCATGCGTCTCGCCCCAACGAAGGCATCCACTTTGATTTCCTCTATTTGGGTGACTCGTTCAAGGGCTCCAAGTACGTGCTCGTGCTCAAAGACGACTTGACGCACTACTGCGAGCTCGTGGCGTGTGACATGGCGGACGCGGCCTCGGTCGTGGACGCTTTGATGCAGTGGGCTGCGCGGTTTGAC